AAATAATCATATATTATTTGAATAGGCCAATACATTGTTTTACTACAGAAAATTAAATGTTCTGATGAGATGCATGTAACAACCACCTACCTACACTAAAGGAAATTTCAAACTTTAGATTTCACCATTGTGCTTTCAGAAAAAGTAACAATCATTTTAGCAATCTTCAAGGTTTATAAACAAAGAAGTTCAATCAGTTTCTAAAACTGTGACAAAAACTTTTCAAAACAAAGTATCGGTATACAGGTAGCAACACAGAATATTTTTCTCCCTTTGAGATCAAGAAAATGGGGAATGCTTGATAATAATTCAAGATTTTTTTTTTCATTCTAAAGTCTCTGTAAACAAGCTTTATCTAAATTTTAACAAAATGAATAGCTAAGCCTTAGAAGAATTTCCTGATGGTTTTTCCTGAGGGGGGAAAAAAAATTTATAACACAAATGGTAAGTGCACAATAGGAACTCAAACAGCACTCTTAAAGAGCAACAGGCTTCCAGTGAGCTCACGAGTGACGACCAAGCCAAAACACTGTCTTAGAAATGTCCTCACAAGCTCCCTCTACGGGTCCAAACACTGTGCAAAACAAGATGCCAAAAACATTCAAGGAGGGCCAGGCACTGTAGCATATTGGCTAAAATCCTTGCCTTACATGTGCCAGGATCCCATATGGATGCAGGATCCCATATGGATGCAGGATCCCATATGGATGCCGATCGTACCTCGCTGCTTCACCTCCCATCTAGCTCCCTGCTTATGGCCTGGCAAAGCAGTAGAGGATGATCCAAAGCTTTGGGACCCTGCACCTACATTGCATCAATTTGGGGAGTAAACCAGTGGATGGGAGATCTTTCTCTCTGTATGCCTTCCTTTCCAATAAAAATAAATAAATCTTTTTTTAAAAAATTGAAGGAGGCCACTTACATACATGGGAGATGGCTAAAATGACCACAGTTGACAATAATAAGTGTTGCCACATATCAGGCAACTGCAACTCTCACACATTGCTGATGGGAATACTAAATGGTGTAACCATTTTGAAAAACAGTGTGGCAGTTCAGTAAAAAGCTATTAATACTTAAATGTCCACAACATAGGACCCAATATCCTACTTCTAGGTATGAACTCAAGAAAATTCAAATAACTTTGTCCCTCACATAGACCTGAGAGCAAATTTCACAGTAGCTAATTCCTAACTGACCAAAACTGGGAGCAATGCAAAATGTCTAACATGACCAAACAAATCACACCTGTACACAAAGGAACAGACAAGGCAACAGAATTCAGTGGTGTGCTACAGCCCACTGCTGATTTTCAGGAACTGTCAGTTGGTTTAGGTAGCTAATATAAGCCATGATGATAACAGATTTTCTTGTTTTTTTTTTTCTTTTGAAAGCCAGTTGTTGAGACCCTTACTAGAATGTCATTGAACCAACTACGAACACGTGCTAAGCAATTTTCCCAAAATTACATGAAGCACACACACGCACAAAACCTGCATGAGTCTACTTCCATAATAGCCTGCTAAAGACATAAGTACAAGGAAATAAACTAAGGCTGTGGGTAGAGAGAGAACAGAATACAATGCGGTTTGAGAACTTTCTGAAGTTGGCAATGTTCTACATCTTGATTGTAGTGACAGTATCCAGATGCTTGTATCTAATTTATACTGCACATAAATTATACTTCACTTTGCAAACCTAAAGTAGGAAGGGAGCATAGATGTCAGTAGCATAGATGGTTAAGCCACTGCCTATGACATAGACTTCCCCATCAAAGCTCCCTGCTAACGTGTCTGGCAAGGCAACAGAAGACGGCCCAAGTATTTGGGTTCCTAATATCCCAATATGATACCATAAAGGAATTCCTGGCTCCCGGCTCCCGGTTTTGGCCAAACATTGGCTATTACAGCCATCTGGGGAACAAATCAGTTTTAAAAGACCTGTCTCTCTCTCTGTCACTTTGCCTTTCAAATAAATAAAATAAATCCTAAAAAAAAATTATTTTGTGGAAGATAAATGCCTCATATGCATAAGCATGGAACTGTAAATAACAGAAAGGAAGTTTTTTTAATGAAACAAAAATAGAAATAAGGAATTCAAATGTAAACAAACAAAAAGTGAACTTGTAATCACAGAAAATAATAAAGTCAGACAGTAGATGATCCTGCTAACAGATTCGTAAAAGTAGATTGGTATAAAACTATGACCTGCAATACCCTTGTATCTAATTTGGGTGCCAGTTTGTGTCCTGGCAGCTCCACCATCAATCTCTACTTCTGATCTGCTGCTAACACATCTGGGAAGGCAGTGTAAGAACACCGCAGTGCAGGCCTGATACTGTAGCCTAGTGTCTGACGTCCTTACTTTGCACACACCAGGATCCCGTATGGGCACTGGTTCTAACCCTGGCAGCCCTGCTTCCTATCCAACTCCCTGCTTGTAACCTGGAGAGTAGCAGAGGATGGCCCAAAGCCGTGGGCCTGTCCACCCATGTGGGAGACCTGGAAGAAGTTCCAGGATCCTGGCTTTGGATCAGATCAGCTCTGGCCATTTTGGCCACTTGGGGAGTGCATCAGCAGACAGAAGATCTTCTCTGTCTCTCCTCCTCTCTGTATATTTGACTTTCCAATAAAATAAATCTTTAAAAATAAATAAATAAATCAAAGACGATCCCAGTGCTTGTACCCCAAAACTATGTGGGAGACCAGGATGGAGTTCTGGCTCCCAGGCTTCTGCCTGGTCCAGCCCTGGCTTTGAAGCCATTTGGGGATTAAACCAGTGGATGGAGAAATCTCTAACTCTGATATATCTTCCTCTGCCTTTCAAAGCCATTGGATGATTTCAGTTCAGTGCCATCAATAAGGTCAATAAGGTCTTTTCCTACTGGCTCCAAACCCCATGATATCATGTTAGGATGATCTCAAATACATGTGTTTCAGTTTTAACTGAGCATCAGCTATTTAGCTTAACATCATATATGATCAATGACATCAAGTCTACTGTCACTTGGCTATTAGGGAGTGCTGGCTTGGATTTCAGGCAACCTGGGTGCAAATATTGGCCCAACAGTGTCTGTCTCTGAAATAGTCTCACAAAGCATCCTTTTCCTCCATCTGTAAAATAGAGTTCATATTTTTCTAAGGGTTGAATAAAAAAAACAGGAAAAAAATAATTTCTACATGTGGTTCTCTCACATCATAAGCACTTCTTAGACTTAACTGACAAAGAACAACACAGACGATCAGCTACAGTGTCTAAGACTGTTAGCTCTCCAAATACAATTACATTATCCAGTGGTTTACAGTCTATTGTGGGGCCAGATCCTTCTGAGAATAAAATGTCTACTCCGAATTCTTCATCCAGAAAAAGAAGCAAAAAAGAAAACTGCAAATACAGACTACGTTCTCATGACTTCTAGGGATTCTAGGGTACCTTGAAGCAAGTGAAATTAACAATGCCTAAGATAAACTCTTCCAACTGTGAAGCTGGGCAACAGAACCTGAGAATCTTCAGACAATCCAACAAGCATGCAACTAGTGTACTTTTCTACTTAAAAAAAATTTTTTACCAGATTTTGTGTTAAGACCAGAACACTACGTTTTATAATTCACATCTCCTTTTCAAAGAAATTTTTAAGTTAGAACCACAGTGTTCACATGAACAAACTTCAACTCAGGAAAAGAAACTCATTAGAAAAACTGCATTTCCAGCAGTTTGAGGCAAAATGGTCCAAAGTGTAACACATACCACTGGTTCCCAGATACCACAGGAAGAGTTCTCAACTCTAATGCTGTATGTTATTTTTAAATGCAAAATCGCACAAAGCCGATTCCTATTGATAGGCCCTGAAGTTAAACTGTATGTGTTGTTATAAATTAGGACTTACTTTAAGTAGAATTACAGTAATAATATTACATTCAGTTTCGGTTTGGGTGTGAATTTTTATCTGTAAATGAATATTCCCAGTTCTATTTTCTGTTATATCTGCTTACTAGGAAGCTTGATGGTAGAAACGAATTGTTCTGGACCTGTTTTTCTTTAATTGTTTGGTCCTCAAACCACATAATAACCAGTTGGCACTACCCAATCCATGCCCATTACTTAAAAATAGTTTCTCGTCTGCATCAGCACCATTTGCTCACAAAACACAGTTAACCATCTTTAAGGTCCTGGAAGCCCAAACCAGGGGTGCACATATGTGGTAAACATCCTTTCAAGCTGGTTGTTAGCGATTAATTTCTGGGAAAGGAAGATACGCTATTGTACATTCCCAACAGGAATCCAAGAGACGCTGCACCTCGGGCTCCAACACTGGCCAGATGGCTTCTGGTCAAAAGGTCACATCTGCTTTTTTCAACCCTGCTGTAACCATGAAGGTCTGTGATGCCACCGCATCCCCTGTTCACGGGAACAGGAACATCTCTGCCCAGCACAAGACGGTAGTGGAGGAAAGCCAGGAGAGGCCCGCAGCCCTGGAGACAGCGCCCGAGGGATGGAGGCCTCCCATGGCTGCGCCCTGGCGCAGGGGGCTCGGGGAACTGGGGACCCCAAGGGATGCAGAGGTGGGGCCGGGCCTCACCTCGACGCCCGAGCCATCCAGGAGCGCCAGGTTACGCCCCCGCTGCATCCTCAAAGCCACCTCCAGCCATCACTCTCCTCCCCATCCCCCCGAAATACCCTCACTCCGCTCCCAGCTGGCCACGGCTCGTGACCCCGACCCCACCGCCACGGCGCCCTCTCCAGGCCGCAGTAGAGGACGCGGGAGGCCAGGTCGCCAGCCTGGGGCAGCAGCAGCAGCAGCAGCGGCTCCCGGGCAGCGCGGGCCCCTGGGGAGGATAGCAGCTGGGCCGCGGCCTGCCTCCAGGGGCAGCGGGAGCAGGGCCGCGAGTGGGCAGCGCCTCCGCCCCGCACCGAACAAAGCAGCCCCCGGCACGCAGGCCCTGGACAACGCCGCCTCTCCGGGGACGCGGGGGGCGGGGAGGCGGGCAGGGGGCACTCACCGGAGACAGCCGACGACCAGGAGGGCCTGGTCCCCGGAGACGAGGACCGCGGCGGGGTCCGGGGCTCTCCGCGCGCGCACGGCGCGCCGGCGACGGGAAGGGGGCGGCGGGCGCGGCGCGGCCCGGGAACCCCACTGCTGGGCGACGGGGCCCGCGGAGCCGAGCTCGGTCCTGCGGCCGCAAGGTACGAGAAGCGGTCCACCGGAGCGGGCAGCGGCGCTAGGCGGCCGGGGCAGCGACGCCGCCGCCTCTCCCTTCTCCTGCCCCGGTCGCTGCTCGGCCGCGTCCTCCTCTCTCGGTCCCCGCCGCCGCCTCAGCCTTGGCGCTCCTCGGGCTTCTCCTCTCCATCAAGGCCGGGCCGAGCCGCAGGAACCATCCCGGAAAGTGAGGGCTTGTTGCCGTCTCCCGCAGCTGTTGGTGGCCATCTTTAATCCTCCTCCTCCTCCTCCTCCTCCTGCTTTCTCCACCTCCCGCTGCCTGACTGACTGACTGACTGACTGGATCCTCCTCTTTTTTCCCTCCTGCTCCTCCTACCGCGCCGGCCGCAGAAATCGCAGGCTCTCTGCCTCTTCCCCCGCCCGTCTTTCCTTCCTCTTTCCTTACTTCCTTCCCTTTCCAGGCTGTTCCCTCTCCGGGCTGTTCCCTCCCCTCGCTCTCAGCGCTGCTTCCGCCCCTTTTTCTTGCAGGTGGCCGGCGCTGGATTCTCCAGGCTGGAGTTCGGCCCCGGGTTGCCCACAGGCCACTTCTCCCCGCCATCCCGACACACACACACACACCCCGCTGCTTGGCGGGGTCCTGCCCTCGGCTCCCCACTTTTTCTTCCCGCACCCTACTCTCTCTCTTCCGCCGTTCTCACTATCTTCAGTTCCAGAGTTTCAGAAAATTCAACTGAAAAAGGACAGCTTTAGTTCCCGCTCGCCCTCCTTCACCCTGCACCCATTTGCTGGATGCTATCGGAGATGGAAACTCGCACGTTACTCTGACTTAAGTACAACAGCTGCCCACGCGAGTGCTGTACCACGCAGCCTTGAAATCCTGCGCGGGCTCCGTTGTGGCTCCCCTCCACAAGTAGGATCCCACGCCCTCCCCAGTGACTGCCTACTGCCCTTGACCTTGAGTCGCTGGCCCCAAAGGCACTAACCCACGTTGGCCACGTTGGCCTTTTCCTTTCTAACAGACCCACTAAGTGAGTAGACCCACTAAGTGCACTTCAGTAAACCTAGAGCCGTGAAGCGATCATCAGTTTGTCCCTCTGGTTGGGTGTTTCTGTTCAACCCAGGGGACGATTTGGGTCACGCTTCGGTTCTGGCAACGGAGTCAGCAGTTACAAGTACCCTCCCATAGGCCTGGAGTGGGGAAGTGAAAATGTGCTGGCTCTGATGATAAACTTGCTTTTCCTATCACTGCAGTCGACACACACTTCAGGATTCCAGGAAACACGAAGCAAGCTGGGCTAGCTGCTTCCTTGGTTTTAACCAGTTTGCCTCTGGAATTGGACCGTTTGTAATGATTTACCTGCTGCGGCTTGCTACAAGGTCCAGCGCCTCCGACAAAGGCAGGTGACATTGTGTGTAACCTGGGGTTGGGGGGAGACGCAGTCCACTGCAGGGGCGCCAACTCAAGGAAAAACACCTTGTCTTGTCCGAATCCCTGCCTCAGCTGAGGGCGAAGGATAGCTCTTCCACAGGCCAGACACAAGGACACACGATTTAAAATGTTGCCTTAGATTCACTTCAGCAACATAGTTTCCATTCAAATGTTGACAATATAAAAGTTTGCATTTGGGCCCCACGAGATAGCCTAGCAGCTGAAGTCCTGGCCTTGCACGTGCCAAGATCCCTTATGGACGCCGGTTCTAATCCCAGCAGCCTCACTTCCCATCCAGCTTCCTGCTTGTGGCTTGGGAAAGTGGCCGAGGACAGCCCAAAGCTTTGGGACCCTGCACCCGTGTGGGAGACCCAGGGGAGGCTCCTGGCTCCTGGCTCCTGGCTTTGGGTTGGCTCAGCTCTGGCTCTTGCGGCCACTTGGGGAGTGAATCAGCGGACTGAGGATCTTCTTCTCTGTCTCTCCTCCTCTTTGTATATCTGACTTTCTAACAAAAATAAAATAAATCTTTAAAAAGTTTTTTTTTTAAGTTTGCATTTAATGTCCTTGGCTGGAAAGCAGGATTCTAATGGTTTTCTTTAATCATCAGCTAAGTAACCTGACCCCTGCTGAACTCACGATTCTATGTGCCATCTTTCATTGCCAGTCATTCTTTTGTATGTCAACAACTTGCACCTTCACCGAAAACTCTGGCATTCAAATAGTCATTGAGACAGAGTTGTATGAACCATTCTGAAACATGCTTAAAAAATAAGGCACCAGTGTGTGTCCACGGGTGAGCCTGTGGCCCAGAATTTCTGTTGTCTATGCTTCTATCTGTTCTGGCCTTTTGATGCTTATTCCTTATTTAGATATTCTTACTAGACAGGAATAGCACAAAATTGTCAGTTCTTCAGTATTCTTTATAAATTGCGTATTTGGAGAGAAAACAAATATGACAATTAGAGACCATGAATGCATACCAAAAAAAGAAAGAAAAAACAATCGACTTAAACACTGGGAGTGTTGTGCGATTTCAAAGTAAGATTTTTTAGTAAAGTCTGAGGCTTCAGTACTACCGTCATCATGGTTTTGTTTACAGTGAAGGGGAGAAGAGGTTTATATTTTTAAAATCCTTTAATATTTTAATTGTAAATATTTTTCTCTTGAAACAAGATTTTTGCAGTGAATTTCATGGAGAGATCCACACAGAGACACAACAGTTTTCCTGTGAGTGCCTTGCACACAGAAAATCTCACCAAGATTTTTCAGTGATGCACACAAACATAAGCACAGTAGGCTTTTTTCTCTTTTCTACTGCAACCACATAAACGTAAGCACTGCAATCGTAATTAGACCTCTCCCCTTGTCTGTTTTGCAGCCCTGTTTCAGATCTGTCATCATGACAGCCCTTACCTTCTTCCGCCTTTGTTGCCGGCTAAGTGTAGTTTCTCTGTCATCTTAGGGTTTAAAGATAAAGTCAAACCAGTGGTCAGATCAGATTCTCCTACCGCAGGATTATTGTCTCATGTATATTCACTCTCAGAGAAACTCCACGTCCTCTTGGAAACAAAGACTTGTGTGAACGTGGAATCAGCCCTTTGTGCAGAGGCCAGATGGAAAGAGATCAGGCATGTGCAGTAAACCCTTGGGGAATAGGGGAACAAGCATGATCGGCTATTTCAAAACAGTGCTGTACCACAGGCAGCCAGGTTCCCAACTTGCAATTCATGAATAAGGTGCTTGTGGGGAATAACAAGAGGAGACTATGACCAAAAAAAAAAGAAAAAAAAAGTCAAAATTAGTATTTTCTCTTAACATGATGGAAAGTTCTGTATTTTCATGAATAAACAAAGCATAGCTTTAAATGAAGGCAGTTGAATAAAGAAGATTCTTAGAGTGTCTAAAAACCATAGGAAGGACTAATAATAGAGAAGATTAACTTTGGAAAGTTCTCAGGGTAAGTCATATGTGTTAATGATTTGCTATTTAAGCAATTATATCCTTTACATTTTTGCTTTTTCACAAGTTGAATTATCCCAGAGATAAGCAAAAATAATAGAATTTTTATTTATTACCAGAACTCAGAATGGTAAGTGAGGCTAAACACAAAGATGAAAAGGAATTGAAGCATTAGTTGACATTATTTTCAAACTGCTAAATGACACAACTACTATGTTTAAGATGCATTTCCATGTTCCCAGTCTATTAGCTACAACAATAGAATTGCCATATTGTTTTCAGTTATTACAAAGAACCAGATGGAAAAGAACCAGGCAAACATATGAAAGTCTCTGGGGACTCTGGGAATTGAATGTCTATAAAAACCACATTCCAGGCAGGAATGTGGCTGGAGGTAAATGTACAGTTTTCTTCCCATCACCTCTGTTCTATAGAAAAAGTAACATTGCTGTTCTACATTTTCCTCTTTAGATGAACCATCTGAAAGATCAAGTGAATAACGACCAGCCATGTTTAAATGAGACGATGGAGATGTGGTGTTCGTCATTGTCTTCACTCCACAGTTTACAGAACTCTGTGTAATTAACTGGTAAGCTGGCCCCAAGACAGTGTCATTCACCAACTTTACTGCACTCTAACCGGGGAGAAATGCTTTTACAAAGTTCCAATTGGAAACGTTTTTTGCTGTTCATTTAAGAAAATGTTCTATTTATGTCAAATTATTTGAAAGATAGGCAGATAAGACAAATAGAGCTTTCCTCCTTGCTGGTTCATCCCCCCTAAAGGTCCCAACAGCTGAGGTTGGGTCAGGCAAGGACCCAAGTACTTGAGCCATCTACAGGATGTGTCTTAACATGAAGCTGGCAGGGGGAACAGAGCCGAGAATTGAATCCAAGTGTTCTGCTATGGGATGCAAGCATTGCAAGTAGCGTTTTAATCCCTGCACCAATGCCCATCCCAGTTATTGGTCATGTAAGTACATTCAAGAGAGGTGTTGGAGCACTGACTTGACTTTATACTTAAGCAGATGACACAACATGAAAATTCTTGAAAATTCAATGGGTATAAGAACCACATGAGAAAACAGAAAATACAGTTTTTGCCCTTCCTCACTATAATGATTTATATTATCATAAAAAGAGCGTTTTTGAAGATGACATTGTTAATGATTATATTTCTGCTTCATGAAGTCTCCATTCGTTTTCAATGCGTTCTTTTTTATGGAGAGTTCTACTATGTCTTGTAAGTTAAAGATAGTTGTTTGCCTATAGTAGCACTCTGTAATGCTATGTAGAGTTGAGCTATAGTAATACCAGAGGTCATGTAGTGCATACTTTGTTTCACTAACTGACCTTTAGTCATTTGTGGCATCGGAACATAGGACGGATCTCCTGCTTTCGTCTCAGATCCAAAAGGGTCCTTCTTACAGGTGGAAAACTGAAACCAAGGGAACTTAACTGTCTCACATTCGTTTAAATACAATTTAAGTGTTATTTTCAGAATGGTTGTTTAAGCATGGACTGTTTAAATAGACATTAGGGGATAAATGAAGGTAAGCTCAGTTTTTCTGTTTACAAGCATGAAAATTGCTATTCAAAACCAATCATTAAGAAAAAAAAATTTGAAAAAAATAGTTTCATAAAGTTTAAAAATAGTTTAATAAAGTTAATAGTTTAATAATGGGTGTGCTGTTGCTTGGGGCACCCGCTGCTGGGAAGTAGCCTTCCCATGATGCACAGTGTGAGCACCAGCTACTGCACGCTTCTGATCCAGCCTCCTGCTGCGTGCTTTGGAAGCAGCAGAACATGGCCCAAATGCTTCATCGCTGCAGTTGCATGGGAGACCTGGATGGGACTTTCAGGTTTCTGGCTTAGCCCTGGCTGCTGTGGGTGCTTGGGGATTGAAACAGCAAATCAAAAGCT